CCCTGGCTAATAACCTCTTAGTTGATGCCATAAACAATTAATGAAAAAAAAAATCTTAAGTTGTTTTCTGGGAAAATTGAAAATGTGTAGAGGCTGCATTCCTCATTGAATAAAACGTTGGTATATTTAAGTTTTTACATTTTTGTGATGACGAGAAATGGCAAGGTCTTGGTCAAAATATAGATTTCCCGGGCCAAAATGTTGCCCCAGTCCGCCCCTGCCTATGTGGTTTACACCACGCAGACCGGCATATATAGCCATAACACCGCCACACCGGAGCCGTATAAGTACCTAATAATAAAACAATATAAAGCATAACCTTATCTGACAAACGGTGACGGGAGAGATGACACGCTTGGGCTTGGCAGATAGGTCTGGAACGACGCCGGCGATGCTCTCTCGGTGTGGGGGGACAACCGAAGTCGTACCATCTCGAACGGCGCGGCCCACGATGAGCTCCGCGGGGGGGAGCGCGTACGACACCGACAGAAAATACGATATTTTACGTCCGCGAAACACTAACCGTCATAACCGATGCGAACGGGCCAATATTATGATATGTATGAATGATATAAAATATAGTATCGTCATGTCGGCACCGGAAGTATGCGCATATCGCGCCGTCAGGTTAACCTACGACTTGCGCCGCAAGGCACACACGCACGGCGTGACGGGACTTATCGGTGGAGGACGGGTGGTGATACCGAAACGCGGAACGGCGGACCCCGAGGGGGGCAAAAGCGTGTCCGACACGGCGGGGCACGGGGGTTTCGGTAGTCGAACCGGGGTGAGTTCTACGAACTAGAAAGGCGCGCGGGGCCGGTACACGACGACGCGATGCACGATCGACGGCGAAAAGGAACACGGGCGGCCAAAAAACCGGCACTCGGGAAGTACGTCGGGAAGAGAGACGGAACGGCGCGCTACGTCGATACCGATGCCGCGGCGGTCCGACGGACGACGTGCGAAAAAGTGTCGCGCGGACGGCGTGGTGGAACAGGGGGATCGTACGTTCCAGAACATTCGAATCGCAGGCAACGTCGATAACGACCGATGGTGTTCGTGCACAAACAACGATTGCATGCATTCAGAAATTTATATGACATATATTATAACAAAGTGATACAGGTACCAAGTACATGATACATAATCATGTCAAAACATAGATGTACCAACAATCTCAAAATAATAAGAGATAATTTTAAAATATGAAACACACTAATATACACGTATTGAATGGTTTTCTTCACAATGACTTACATTATATCTGGCCCGTGGCATGCAGTCAGGACAAGCGGGGTAATTACCGCTTGACAAGGAAGAAAAAGAAATGTATTTATAATTCATAATGTCGATTGGTATTATAGAAGTTTATAATATAGGTTTTTTCTTTTACACATAATACACTTTATTATCTGTGTTATATTATATTAAAAGTTAGAAAACATAAATTATGAAATTAAAATTTTTTTGTTTATTAAACTTAAGTCCGGCGACTACAGCCATTAGCTGTTGTAGGGGTTATAAGTACGGTAGGTAGTAGAAATTAAATTATTTTGTTATTCAGGACAATATTGATGGCAATGTGTCATGTTGTAATAAGGATTTGTTATTATAAATATAACATATTTTATTATCTGTATTATATTATATTAGAAATAAGAAAAAAAAATGCTTTTAATAGATTTCTAACGTTATCTTGTCAAAAGCACTTGGAATTTTGATTACCCGGCTCATAACATTAAAATGTATGGAGGGCCAGGTGTAGTAGGGTAGAGCGACCACAATTGTATGCAACAGTTGGAACCTGCATTGAACAACTACAAATACACAATATGATAATATTATTGTTTTTTTTATGTCTACAGAGCTTTAAATACCACTGCATGCCACTGAGACTGACATACTAAAAACATTTACATTCAGTGTACTTTGAGCAATAATTTCCCTAAACATCAAGCATATTTTCAAAAGAAATATAACCAAGAGGCAAGAGCAAACATAAAACAAAATAAAATAAAAAGCTTAAAACATTTTAAGTCTTCATTCAAGTAACAAAACCGTAAAAAATTAACAAGATTTAAGTGTACACAAAAAGTGGTCAAACTTTTGCAACATATTTCATTTAAATTAATTTAATTTTAACATTTTAGCAACAAACAAAATATAATATTTTTTTAATGATTAAATAAAGTATGAATAAATTAGGAGTAAATTATATTTTTAAACAGAATATTTATGGTTAAATTTATTTAAACTGCAAAAGCACAACCACTTTTTCCATGGCACAGACAAACATGACATATTAGCAAAACACTTTCTTTCACGTTTACTTAGAATAAATTGTACCTTCAACGTTTATGTTATTTGTAAATGACTTTGAGTCAAAGTTAGATTTTGGGGTGCTAGTCTCTCGAAATTTATTTTCAACTAACTCTACTGTTGAAGGTTCAATATCAACTTCTTCTTTGTTCCTAAAAAATAATATTTAGTCATAAGATAATATTAAATACCTACACTTTTTATTTCACTCAATTTTAATCGATAAATGAATACATTTAATGTGTACCTATGTTATTTATTCTAACCACCATTCAAAAGTTAAAATGTGAACTATTTAAAATATTTTAATTAATATAAGTTTAATTTTTTAATTTTTGTGCTTCAACTTATATCTAATAATCTATACTAATTAACTGAGAATACTTAATTAACTAAGTATCGTTTTTAAATTAATTTTCTCAGTGTATAGACACACATTTTTATAAGAAATAAATAAATCAAATATGTACATCAATATTAAGTAATTTATGATGAAATATAATATGTATAAGTTTATAACTGAAATACAACTATACAAAAATAAAAATAAAATTTCATTAAATACAAATTATTGGTATAACCTACCTAATATTTTATCAATTAATTATAAATAATTATTTTAAGTAGAAATATTTTCAAACAATAATAATTGTTTAGTTATCAGATAAGGTTATTGTTCATGTAATATATTAGTGGTTAAGATTTACCAAGAGGTGTTCCAAATTAATTATAATATAATGATGAACAGAGAAAGTTTAGGTTGTTTATGTACTATTATACAGCTTAAAACAATAAATATAAATAAACATGAAAATGCATATGTTTTTTAATAATATTATACAAAGAAGAAGCAGTTTTATCATTTATTATACTATAAAAAATGTTTGATTTTCAACTTTTGTATTTATATTATCATAATTAATTTCTTTGAAGATCAGAAATAATTAATACTAATACAAATTAATAATAATTGGTACCTAGTATTTATTAATATACCTAGATTACTCTTTTAGAAACTTAAATATGAATAAAATACTATTTTTAGTTAGTAGGCATATTTTAAAAAGATTGATTTTTAATACCTAGATATTAAATTAATTAATTTCATTTAGAATAATAAAACAAATTATTACTATTATTAATAATTATTGGATACTTACTCAGGGTTAACCATTTTAGTGAAATCATTGAACAATGAAAAATTTTTATTTCTTTTATATAATACATTTTCTAGTCTGTATTCACGTTCATAAGAGTTTTCTTCTGTACGGAATTTGTTTATTATGCCATTTTGTTCATGATAGCGTTCATAACTTTGAATAATTTCTACTCTGAGTATACCATCTTTGGGCCAAATATCTATGACATGGTCTAAACAATTAGCTGGATGTGCTAACCTTTTGTGAAAATTAACAAATTCATAAAAGACTAATACTGCCTAAAACAAAAATATTATAACATTAGGTTATTCTAAACACTGGCATTTAGTAAATATAATACCGCAAATAAAGACACAAAATCTATAGCCTTCCTTAGATTTCTTGGAAAATATTGCATGTACATCAATGAGAATCTGTAGTACATGCTGTCTTGTACATTAATCTCAAAGTCACCGTTGGCAGACATAATGAAACTGTCCCTCTAACTCAACAACAAACAAAACATGAGCAGGAAACCTTGACCAATTCTACACTGCATCCCGGAGCGACTAAACTAAATTTTGTTAACAGAAACGGTGGCAACAATCTAAGACATTGCACAAGTCACGGACAATCAATTTCTTTTTAAGACTGTTGTACACACAAAATGATAATAATATGTGCATCACTGATTGCGGGAACAATCGTAAGTACTCACCCTAGACCGACGGACATGAGCCAAACACGACTAACGTTAATAATATGGTGTGTGTTGGAAAGGAAGACTTGCGAATTGCAACAAATAAGTAAAACATGAACGCGATGAAGATCAAAATGATAATTCGTAATCGCGGAATCGCGCAGGTGGTCGTCAGCTGCAGATTGAGAATATTTAGAATAATAATTTACATTAGGTCACAGATTAGAATATTATTAATGAAATGAAATGAAATATTTTGTAATTTACACAATATGAACCGAAAAAATTGAACACAACATCAATATAATACCATTGACTGCATTTTAATTCTACCATTAAAATACGAGTGAGACAATTTTATATTACGCAGCCGCGACATAGGCGCAATCGCGCTATTCTGTGCCCGGTGGAGTTATCACACTTATTTACATTTTACCGATCAATACTCTACCAAAAAACAAATAAAGATTCGTGCGTCGTAGGGTCGTGTGTGCAGTACTACAGTCCATCAAAGTAATAATAAATGTAGTAAAGGAATACCTAATAAACAATAAATACAGCATCTTACCTGAAATGTTTCCCCGAAATTTAAATAACCTAGGTGTCGATCTTTTAAGAAAAGAGAAACCATATTATAGTTACTATTGCTAATTCCGAGTAATTCGTTATAAAGTGGTTGTATAGGGTGTTTTGAAACCATCTGGATTCTGGACAACTGTCTAAAAAAAAACTTGAGTATCCAAAAACAGAACATTTTAATCAAAAACACACACGATCCCTTATCGATAAACGACACATTTTTATCAGTAGCGGCGTGACGATAAAGCGACCAGTGGCCATGTGTTGCGTTTGCAACAAGTATTTTGTGTGGGTGGTGGTGGTTCTTAAAGTATAAGGAAACAAATTTGAATTAGCACTCCTCACACAAATTATTGTGCAATCAGTGTCGTAGGTCGGACTTGGTTTTAGAAGTTACAGGGTTCTGAAAATCGTCAACATTCGGCAATTATTACGTTCGTCGTCATTACTGTTTTCGGAACATAATACGTACAGTGGCCCAACAAGGGCTAACATTTTGGTTGGGGGGGGGGGAGCTGTAGGCCAAATCTGATATTACATGAAAAGTAACTCTCCATGTGTGTATTCGATAAAAAGTATAAAATTATAACAAAAAAAAATGTTTATTTATTTAAATTTCATTTTTCACAATAATAATATACTGTCTGTATAATACTTTAGTTCAGTGCATAAACTGTAAAATTATGTAGCATACCTAATCCGTTAAAAAATTGTGATTTTTTTCACACCCCCTCCCCAAAAAAAATTTTTTTTTTTAATAAGATTTAACTATTTTTTAAATAAAGATTAATTTAATTTAAATAACATTTTTATATTTTCATATTTTATTATATAATATAACATATTTATACTCAACCCCCCCTAAATATTTTTCTGGCTACAGCCTTGATTGTAGCATATAGTATAACTATAGTTTAATAATATCAGTCGTAGGTATATACGACGATTACGATATTTATAAAAAAATTACTATAAAAATAACAATATTAAAAGTGAATACAAACAGATGGTAGTACCTATAATTAGTTAATAAAAATATATTTATTTCAATATTTATACTTAGAACCACATTTATACATTAATTACTTGGTATCATTTCTAATTTTAAACGACTGTAACTTTAAAAAATTAAAATTATTGTGTCCGTTTAATGTTAATAGAATAGGTAGGTACTAGGTACTAACATTGATACTACTAGGTTAATAACTTCACTGTAAATTGTAATATAAAACTAATAAATATATAATATATTGAAAATAATAATAAATAGTAGTTCTGCTGAATGCAATTTTACAAGTTGCTCGTGTGCGGCTATACTGCCACCCTATTATTTATTATGCTGGTGTGATATCTTAATAAAACTGATACAGTGACTAAACCATTTACAATTTACCTACTTGTTTTTTTTTCATAAGTTATAAACAAACACACGTATCACTGTGATCCGTTATGTTATGTTACCTAGGTGTGCACAACTGCACAAGTACGATTTTTGTATCAAAAACAATTTTTCCCTTGGATCTATAGCTGTTTTAAACATAACAATACATTTTGATTGGATCAAAACTTTAAACAATTATAAAAAAAATCAACAGAATGGCAAAATCTTGAATAGGTACCTACAAACCTACGTCGTTGATCTCAGGCTGCAGTTGTACAAAATAGTTTAATTTTACCCTGGTATACATACAGATTAAAATATTATATCATTGTATAATATCTAAATTAATATAGGTAGCATCATATCATAGACGTAATAATAGTCCAAATGTATAAAAATAATTGTCCTTGTACACAATTAATAACTTAAATAAATATAATTTCCAATATTTGCATTCAGAGGTGAATTTGGTAGAAGGCAACTGTTAAAAAAATCATTTATTACATTTTACTCTTAAAAATGGAATAAATAATATTAGTTGTTCATTTTTAATTTTTCCTATACTTAATTGTAATTTCTTCTGTACTTTTAAAACTTTACTTTAACACAGGTTTACTTATGATTGTTATTTGTTCTAATTCAAGTAATGTATTACGAGAACCTATCTTCTACTATAGTCTGAAATAGAATATATTATTTGTATTTCGTATACGTTTTTATGTTTTTGTACTTCGTCAATATTCTTCAATAAAATTGCATGGTATAATTGTTTACTTATTGTATGAGAACTAATACCTCAAGGTAAAGTAAGACTTTAAAATGTAAACTGCGTATATTTCTCAAGTAAAATAAATATAAAAAAATTAATGAAAAACACGGTTACTGAATTACAACAATGTTTTCAACTATTTCGTAAATAAACACTGTAATAACTTAAGATTATTATTATTGACAAAATATTTGATTCAATTTAAGTAGATATCAAAATGTATAGTAAATAATAGTATAGTATTGTATACAATTAGAATAATATATATTTGCCATTTGCACAACTTACATGAAAAAATATATGAATACTTATTACTTAAGTACGGATAATAATAATAAAATTTAAAAAAAGTTAAAGATGTAAATATAAAAATTAAAACATAATAATATTAGACAAACAGGGAGAGCCCTACCAAGAGGTTGAGGGCTATAAGGGCTGCAGCCCGGGCCCCATATATTACTGTAATACAGACATATAAGATTTATTAAATTCAGTCAACTTTGAATAATTACTTATAGACTTATGGTATATTTTATTTATAATATTAAAAAATAAATTGAATATAAAATAAGCTGTGGCAAAAGAACTGAATTTATAATTTAAGTTAAAGGGTCCAACCAAAAAATTAGTCCAAAATTCCTAAGTACGGCTCTCCCACCACAGAATATTTTGTTTAAGAGTGTACAATGTATACGAATTGTTTTTTAAAATTGGTTTTGGAATATAAATTTTGCTTTTAATTATTGTATTTGTTTCGTTTTTCAAGAAATGTATTGAGTAATATTTAATATTAAAATAAAAATAATATATTAATTATTATAGCATTAGGTATGTCTATGTAAGACACGAAGGTTTCTTAATACCTATTATCATACTGAAGTTATATAAAATAAATATCGTTCAATACTCGCGTTCCTACCTATTTTAAATAATATAATACCTACCTAGTATGTCTATTTTAATTTAGTGGTAATAATTACAAAGAAAAAATTCATAAATACTTATTACTGCTCTAATGTTACATAATAGCGTATACTAGGCTTATTGATTTAATATGCATAATATACCTGAAGGTACTTAAAAATGTAAATTTATAAAAAAAGCTTACATTATTTTCTTCTCAATGTCAATCTTGAATTTCATTATTTACCTCGGTTTCTGATGATTGACGATTTTGAGATTTAAATTGAAGCCTCTGGTTAAGTGTCCTATCTTCGCCGATCCAAGAGTTTTTAAAATATTCAGAAGAACGAAGTTTAGTTTTATGTTTCAAAACCATCTGAACATAATCGTTTGATTTAAATACCATCCGAATGGGGCGATACAGTCCACGATAATTACCTAACCGTTTAATTTCCGGAAAATCGTGGGTGTATCTCAAAACCTTCAGTAGATCAACAACTATAGCACGTAACATCTCTGGTGTCTCGTTCTTCGAATCGGGAACATGGAAAACTAGTACATTCTTAGATCTTTCAGAACGATCATGAACCTCCGCCGCAACGCTATGAAAGCCATCGACTAGTTTTCGGCTCAATAATTTACGAATACCGTCGATTGAATCTCTTAGCATTGCAATTTCATCAGCCATAGCATCTCTTTCACTTTTAACTTTGACCAATTCAGCGTTAAATTTATGTATCATATCGTTAAATATCCCGTATGTGACACTCAATGAAGATACGTTTATTTGGAGATCTTTTATGATTTTCCTTTGATCAGTCAAATCGTCCCGAGTATCAGTTGGTTCCGAAAAAATCGAGGTCCTTGTTAAATTATTATTGTAAGCATATTCACTACGGTCGTCTCGGGCGTTGTGGTTATTCCTTTCCAGAGAAGACGTTCCCATTTTAATTCTGTATTGATCCATGTCTGCTGTGGGTATACAATCTGAACCTTGATGTTATGTAGGCGTTATGTAGCTGTTGGATATGATGATGCCGCAACAGTGAATATCCTCTTTATCACAGCCTTATGTATAACATATATATTTATAATATATTATACACAAGAGATTGTTGACAAACGAATTGCATAAAACAATATGTCATAAATACTTATAAAAAATACAAAATTAATAACCACTGCCCGTAGCGAACACCACACATGCACCGTGCACGACACGACTATACTATACCGACTAAAACTCGATAATCTTCGATTAGCACAAATTGTTTCCATAGTCTCCAAGACGCGTCTAATAGCCATTAATTAGATGCTAATATCTTTTTTTTAAGAATGCTATTAATCGACATAAAATAACCAAAAATGTGATAAATATTAAGAACACGCCCTACCTATGTATGCATACTAATGGCAGAGTTGCAAAGAATTTTATAATGATAGTATAATACATATTATAAATATGTGTCATTAGTATTTTACTGTTTAATAAATATTTTTCCATTTTTAACATTAAATATAAAGACGTAGAAGTATTTTTAAAATGTGAAGAAAAAATACTTGATCATTTAAATTGAGTGTTTTATAAAAGTAACATATATATAGGTAATTAATTGTCTGCTTTAAACATATTCCAACTTGGTAGTATATACACGGTTATTATTACATTGTATAAAGATTTGTTGTTTTTTTTTATAAATAAACTAGTTGTCCCGTCACGGAGTTGTTCGTGTATTATATAACTATATAAAAAAAACTCTTTTTTACCCCCTTAGAGGTCTCATTTTGAAAAATCCTTTCGAAAAATAATAATAATAATATTTACAAATGATTCTAATGATTCTATACACATATTATTATTAAAAAATGATTCTATAGTTATGGTTATAATTTGTTTAGTTAACACGTTCAACCTATCGCATATCGATAAATAAAGTATTATTATGTATTTTTCGATAACGCAAATTGTATATTTGAGAATTGTGCTATTCGGTGTTTACCATACAACTCTTGACTTAATGAAAATATGTTAGTTTGTAGTTTAAAATTTTTTCAAGTATTCCTACATCATAAATGTAGCGGTGCAGCCATTAGGTACTACGTACAATCGTCAGTAGACAAATTAACTC